TCCCCCCCAAAAAAAACCCCACCAAAGTGGGAGAAGAATACAGTTCCCCCCCCAAGTAAGGGAAAGATACACACAAACAGTATGCACAAGTACTCATGATATAATCCATTCTACCTTGATTGCCAAAGATATTTCTCTCACTTGAGGCAAATGTTTCGGTGTTTATACATAGAGTATTTCAACTATCTAGAAATCCTGGGTTTAAGAGATGACCATTGCTTTGGATAAAGCCAAGGTATGAAAAGTTTTACAGAATTTTGTAATTACTCATTTCAGTAAGCTGTGTTGACTTACTTCTCTTTGTCCCATTAGAAAGCATTCGGCAGCAATGGCTCTGAGGAAAAGAAATATATAAAAATATTTATTCTTGAAACATTTTAAATGCCATTAGTGGCAGAATACTGACTGTGGAATGGAATTAAAAATTCCTTGAGAAGAAACTGACTAACTTCCAAAGATGTTAATCTACAGTGAAAAGATAAAAATAGCCATTTTTTAAAAACAACCTTACATGAGCAAGACATTTCAGTGGTTCCCCATTATGAACAAACACTGAAGAAAAAGATCAGTTCAGCATCACTGGATAATGGAGATTACTGCTATTGTGATATATAAAGGGGAGGGTAGAGAGGGGGAGACAGAAGTCAATAGTTGAATTAAAAAGGCAACTTGTAAATACATCATTCATATTTATCTGCATAATATCCATTCACATAAGCCTCCCCAAAAGGGAAGTTCCATTTCTCATTTTAAAAGCATTAACAGTATCTCTGTCTGTTGTAACAAACAGTTACTGTTTACATAATAAGCTAATGAAAGAGAGACTTCCAGTACAAGCCCAATTGGAAGGACGTTTCAGATTTACCTTTGTGATGTAAACCTTATAAACAAAAGCAATATCTATGAAAACAGATGTATGACTGTTGCATTACATTTTCCAGATGGCCAGGCATGTTGGGATATTATATGTAAACATCTTGGCTTGCAGTTTCAGAATTTGAACATTGCTCTCCTCCCAGTATCGCAGAAGCAGCCTGTAAAAGGCATTAATGAGAAAGAAACACTGCTCTAATCACTGGGAACAGAAAAGCAATCCAAAGATACAAACACATTACACAAAATACATTATACCTAATCTGAGCCAAGAGTCGCAAGCAGGAAAAAAAACCAAGCCACCATATACAATATTGACTGAATACGCTCTCCAAACAAAAAAGTTAAGATACACTTTCAGAGAATAACGAAGAAGTGTGAGATTGGAGAGAAAATATGATCTTGGCACATTACAAGATCAATCTTTAGCATGCACAAGGTAACTGTGTGTTTGAAAGGAGGCTGATCAGTTTTACAGTCATGTGGCTAGGAGAAACTGTTCAGTCAGTTCTGCTCACCCATTTCATGTAGTATCAACATTGTCTAAGGAAACTGCAAGTTCCTTCTAGACATAATCACAACTTGGTTAAAAATGCAGCCATTCAACTTTGTGTGCCAAAGGCAGGCGTGTCATACTCTCCCCACGCCCCCAACCACACACACTTATTTCAAGTCTTGCTTTGAATTCTTTGGGCTCACTGTTGATGACAAACAGTAAGTGTTTGGGGACTTTCAAAATTATTCAACCAAATGTTCAGGAGTTCGCTGCAGCTGAATACAGTAAAGCATGGACTCTCTAATCCCAGAAGAGAACATTTTGATATACTGTTCAAGTAAGAATCAGTGTGATGTTTACATTAACTGGTTTTGTTTCCCTTAAGATTTTTTTTCAAAATTAAGAATGGCTTATCTTTGCTAAATAAATGTCAAGTTAAACCTTAAGGTAGCACTGTTACACACTGGCATATCCATTTTTATTTGTTCCATACTGGAACTATACTTTTAATAGATCACTAAGTAGCAACAAGATTTTAATATATATCTGACATTTCTCTACACAATTGAAATTTTGACCACTTGTACTCATCACGTACAATGCAGAGTTAATTCCTGTATAACTATAAACTTTCTGTAGATAGAACAGAACCCTGTCAAATACAAGAAAGATTGAGATGATGTCAGAAGGCTCAATATGCCTCAAGCAACATGCAATAATAGAGGAAGAGTTTTACTTCTATAGTAGAAAGCAAATCATGCATGTCTTGCACAAAAAACAGTAGTTATGTTAACCAGCTGTTTGTCTTGATTACAAGTATTTTTACATACCTCAGTGCAAGTCCAGGATTAGCAGGCATGGTAGAACAAAACCGTTCCAAGGCTTTGGAATGTTGAGATTTTGGAATGCAGCTCAAATAAAAAAGAATTACCTGTAGAATTTGAATTATAAACATTAATCCACTTTATAGCTGTCTAATTTTGCTACGAATAATGGAATGAGAAACTACGAACATTATGACTAAAGTGAGTTACCACCTACAAACCTTATCCCTCCAGGATACAGAAATCAATTTGTATAATAAAAAGTTAGTGTCAAGTTGCTAACACCACATACTTTAGTCCTTCTAGCCTGCATTTAGCAAGTAAAGAGAAATGCACTGGATGTTAGCAAAATGGGACCCAGGATTTCTATAAGCTTTATTCTGCCTAAGTGCTCAACTTGTTTTTTACTCCTACTTCATTTCTTCTGTTTCTCGACCACTGTAATTTCTATGATCAAAACTGACAGCTTAAATACTGTTTCCATCTGCCAGTGTTACAGTTCTGCAGACCCTTCTTGCTCAACCATCTCTTCCCTCCCTTACGCATTTTCTCTTTTCTCTAGGAAAGAATAGCTTGTCATTAACAGCTGTATTCACATTATTAAAGAATGCCATAATGAAGTTTCTCTTTGCCTTACACACCCTTTATTCAAAAGGTCACTGCTAGATAGTCTTCTGCTCAGAACACTACTCTTCAGATACTTGTTTCTTTTTCTACTAATTTCTAGCTCTCAGTGTTCATATACTACTGGTGCTGTACTTGAACAAGTAAATTACAGGTACCTGCTAAAGGGTCATCAGTCTCTTTGTTGAATTAAAACCATCCACAGACACATTTTTACCTTATTATGAAACTCATAATTGGTCCAATAATCAGCAGTACTAAAAGGAATTGGGTATCGTGTGGGGACTGTAACCAGACATCTGTTCACTAGGTCAGTAAAAAGCTTGAATTCTTGAACTTTGTTGTTGGATCCAACAACTTTGCTATTGATAAAAACAAGGTAACTGGAAGAAAAAAAAAAGAAAAAAAAAGAAAAAAGATGGTTCTGGTAGCCTTCACTTAATAGTTTTGAGATTAATTTACTTTCCTCCCTTAAGAACTTACTCCAGCCAGATGTTCTGAACAGTTTCCTGCTGCATCACTGCCCCCAGAGCTGCTTCATAAGCATCCAGTGCTTCACCAACACTCACGTGAAGAGACTGGCACAAACTGTTTATATTAAAAGTTAAAAAGTGCTGTATGTCATAAACAATGCATGTTCTTACATATTAAGAGTAAGAAACAATCAAGAACTTCCCATTCTGAGATGCAAGAAAAATCAGTGTTTTCAGTTCAGCAGCATTGTGGACTAATTTATCAGTAAACTTATTAAAACGCCTAAGTCTCAACTGCAGATAATAAAGAATAATACAGAAACTATGCAGTTTAAAATGCAACTCTTAAATAAAAATGAAATATTATGAATTGTCTTCTACTCTTGTAAAGTACCCTTTTACTAATCCTTTTAATAGGGATGCTCTGACTGCTACAGAATGGAGACAAGTCTTGAGTTTGTCTGGAAAGCTCCAGAACAATAAATTTCAGTCATATTAAAACCACTTGAGAAATGGTATCAGACTGTGGCAACAAAATTAGTGTTCTGAAGCAAATTCTACTGGGGATCTGGGGTAGAAATATGCTGATCATGTCAGAAAAAAAACCCTGACAAGAATAGACAAAAAAACCCTTAATTTTGTTCCACAGCTCAAAGAAACTCATGGTCAGACCACCATATATGACCTCACCAAAGACAGAAGTAGACACATTTTTTGACTACGATTCAGCAAACAATCCTTATTTCAAAGTGTAAAGTAACAGTGAAAAAAAAGGTAAGACTTTCAGTAAGTCATAAGAGGAAAAAAAACACTCATGAAGAGGAAGGCTACAGAAATGCAAAAAAGATAGGGCTGATGTTGCTACCTTGCTACAGAACACTCTTGACTAAGGTCACATAATCAAAGTGCCTGATTCTACTCCTGCTTTCCCCAAGAACTACAACTAAATCACCAATTTGCCACTCTTCCTAAAAAACTGTGTGTATATGTTTGTGCACACACATACTCATCTGTACACACAATGATCTTGCAAAGTAAAACATTGTTCCTGGAGCTTTGAGGCTTTGCTGATTTCAATCTGACTATTTTCATCACTTGGTACAAGTGAACTTTTCTGTCTTTTATCCTCTGTACCTAAAAACAGGAAAGACAGATACATAGGCCCAAATACCTAGGCACTTACTGTAGCAAAACTCAACCACAGAAACACTCAATTACTAGCTCTGAAAGTAATTGAGGCACCTGCTTCAAGAGCACTAATTTTCCTCTTAGAAGCAGGTGCTAAAATACAGTAGCATCTGAGCTTAAGTTAAGGTCCCTAATGACTAGGCTAAACAGTGACCTCAAGCGTCTTTCTAACAATGTTTCTACTGTGCAAGTACCAAACTTAAAACTGAACTTGCAAAGAGGTAAGTATTTTCAAAAAAAGAATTATTTAAACTGGTATTAATGGACAATATAAAAAGAAAACATTAAGATAACTTAATCTACACCTTACATAAAGGTTTTCTTGAAAACCATACATTTTACCTGTTTGTAAGTTGCCCACCAATTAAAGACTACAAGCAACAGTGTTGAAGGAGTTCTGAGGAGTCCTCACTCAGTACGTGAAACATTATCATCTTTGCCCCCTTTACTTATCTGAAAACCCAAATAGCTACTTGTGAAGATTGACAAACCCAGACCATGAAGCCGTAAACTTCTTAAACAGCTTAAGTCAGCATTTCAGTAATCACAGTTATACTAGCGTAAGTTACAGATGGCTAATACTTCGGTGCTTGCCAATCCTGGATATTGCTGCTATCAAAAGGAATGCTGGAAGAAACAAACAAACAAAAGACTGTGTATACATGACAAAGTTCTGTCACCTTTGCAATCTCTTGCAGAGGAAAAGGTCACTTAGCTAAATTACTTTGCTACGGAGGGGCATCTGTAGCTAGTTCCAACTTTATAGTCTGTTGATAGTAGCTCCATAAACAGCTGAAACAGTGGGTCAAGGAAGGTGGGGAGACCAGGGCTAAACAGAGTTAAACAGAGTGGGGGAACTATCATAAAATAAAAGGGAGACAACTGAAAACCAGAAGAACAACACTACTAGCAGTAGCAACCTAAACCAAAAGTAAACCAAAAAAACCATCTTGTGAGATGAACACACCCATTACTGTTCACATAGGGCAGAATTTCTGAAAGATTTCTCAAGTGGAGAATTTAAGTTGATGTGCAGTTCACAGTTCCATAAAATTGTCTCTGTTGTGCAGCAGGCAGGTAGGTTCTCTAAGGACTGGCAGATCATTTATTGAAAGAACCCGAAGTGATATACCCTTAGGCAAATAATGAACGTTCTGCTTTTGAAAACGCAATTTACTGAGACTCAATAGCTGTTTCTCAGAAATACATTACAAAAGTCTCACCAGTAGATCTGCCACAGATACGGGATTTGCTGGTTTACAACATCATCTGTAAGATGCTCTTTATAGAGAGGTGATGTAAATTCAATTGGCATTGGAAAATTCAAGAGGTATCTGCAAGAGAAAAAAGTAGCAGTAAGTGAGAATAACCCTCTACATGGAAGAGTCCTATGTGGATGTAACATTTAGTTCTGAAATCCAGTTCATGGGTCATATTAAAAAAAGATGCACTTTTCCTAGATTTTAGTTTAACTCTATCCAGATAGAATATATACAGAAAGCCTTACACAGAAATATAGAAATAGTTAATATAGAAAGCATTTACTCCCTCATTATGTACAAAGTTAAATATTGCTTTATATCTCAGACTTCTCCCTCCCCACATAAAATACATCAAGTAAGGTACAATCATCTACATAGTCAGCTAAGCTGCATTGTTGGTACTCAATTTAATATTAACAAATGTAAGCAGGAATAAAATCTAACACCTAACCTGGAGACAGAAACATTTCAAAGCCTCATCTGCATAAGCTTTAGCACAGGTCTTCCTTTGAAGGCCTTCACAGGCATCTATTTTGACTTCAAAACTTCAGTAAGTCTCTCAATTAGGTGCTATAATTCAAGTGGAAAATCAGCAGGCTAGATATGAGCCTGTGCCTTTTCAGCAACAATAATCTGCTGATTAATAGCATGCTGGACCTCTGAACTGACGTCTTTTGTGGGTGTGTAAATATAGTATTTTAGGTATGCAATTTTAAGCTCCTAGCTTTGGGCTGGGGGGGGGGGGGGGGGGCCCCAA